AATGGTTTTCCTTCTAGATTAATCTGTCATTAAAATCCGAACACCGATTTTTTAGTCGAAATTCATGTCCAAATCTTACCCCAAGATTCGTATATAGACATGGGTCAAGATTTACAAAGACCATAAGTCGGTCGAATCTCATCCGATTTTCACGAGATTTGTATTTTTCTTAATGGTTTTCCTTCTAGATTAATCTGGCATTCAAATCTGAGCACCGATTTTTTAGTCGAATATCATGTCTAAATGTTACCCCAAGACCAAGACCCAAGATTCGTATATAGGCATGGGTCAAAATTTACCACTCCCATAACTCGGTCAAATCTCATCCGATTTTCACGAGATTTGTATTTTTCTTAATGGTTTTCATTCTAGATTAATCTGTCATAAAAGTCCGAACACCGATTTTTTAGTCGAAATTCATGTCTAAATGTTACCCCAATACCAAGACCCAAGATTCGTATATAGACATGGGTCAAGATTTACAAAGACCATAATTCGGTAAAATCTCATCCGATTTTCACGAGATTTGTATTTTTCTTAATGGTTTTCCTTCTAGATTAATCTGGCATTAAAATCTGAGCACCGATTTTTTAGTCGAAATTCATGTCTAAATGTTACCCCAAGACCAAGACCCAAGATTCGTATATAGACATGGGTCAAGATTTACAAAGACCATAAGTCGGTCAAATCTCATCCGATTTTCACGAGATTTGTATTTTTCTAAATGGTTTTCCTTCTAGATTAATCTGCCATTAAAGTCTGAACACCGATTTTTTAGTCGAATATTATGTCCAAATGCTACCCCAAGACCAAGACCCAAGATTCGTATATAGGCATGGGTCAAAATTTACCACTCCCATAACTCGGTCAAATCTCATCCGATTTTCACGAGATTTGTATTTTTCTTAATGGTTTTCCTTCTAGATTAATCTGGCATTAAAATCTGAGCACCGATTTTTTAGTCGAAATTCATGTCTAAATGTTACCCCAAGACCAAGACCCAAGATTCGTATATAGACATGGGTCAAGATTTACAAAGACCATAAGTCGGTCAAATCTCATCCGATTTTCACGAGATTTGTATTTTTCTAAATGGTTTTCCTTTTAGATTAATCTGCCATTAAAGTCTGAACACCGATTTTTTAGTCGAATATTATGTCCAAATGCTACCCCAAGACCAAGACCCAAGATTCGTATATAGGCATGGGTCAACATTTACCACTCCCATAACTCGGTCAAATCTCATCCGATTTTCACGAGATTTGTATTTTTCTTAATGGTTTTCCTTCTAGATTAATCTGGCATTAAAATCTGAGCACCGATTTTTTAGTCGAAATTCATGTCTAAATGTTACCCCAAGACCAAGACCCAAGATTCGTATTTAGACATGGGTCAAGATTTACAAAGACCATAAGTCGGTCAAATCTCATCCGATTTTTACGAGAGTTGTATTTTTCTAAATGGGTTTCCTTCTAGATTAATTTGGCATTAAAATCTGAACACCGATTTTTAAGTCGAAATTCATGTCCAAATCTTACCTCAAGATTCGTATATAGACATGGGTCAAAATTTACAATGACCATGAGTCGGCCAAATCTCATCCGATTTTCACAAGATTTGTATTTTTCTTAATGGTTTTCCTTCTAGATTAATCTGTCATTAAAATTCGAACACCGATTTTTTAGTCGAAATTCATGTCCAAATCTTACCCCAAGATTCGTATATAGACATGGGTCAAGATTTACAAAGACCATAAGTCGGTCAAATCTCATCCGATTTTCACGAGATTTGTATTTTTCTTAATGGTTTTCATTCTAGATTAATCTGTCATTAAAATCTGAACACCGATTTTGGTCGAAATTCATGTCTAAATGTTACCCCAAAATTCGTATATAGACATGGGTCAAAATTTACCACTCCCATAACTCGGTCAAATCTCATCCGATTTGCACGAGATTTATATTTTTCCTAATGGTTTTCCTGCTAAAATAATCGGACATTAAAATCTGAACACCGATTTTTCACCGATATTCATGTCCAAATCTTACCCCAAAATTCGTACATAGCCATGGGTAGAAATTTTCAAGACATGGGTACAAAATTCCCATTCGCATAATTTGGTCAAAACTCACCCGAACTTCGCGCGGTTTGGCTATTTGTCCATGATACGGCCTCTAAAACTGGTCTCTTAATTTGGTCTATATATAGAACACATATATTTATATAAATATAGCTGCTTCCTTTTGCTTGTTCCATCCCTTCGTATTAGACTATTATACCCGCTGTTACACATTTTAAATGGTATATAAAGCAACAATATCAACAAAAGCAATTCCCATTGTTGGCAAGGTGTTAAAAATTTGTTGTATAACCAAGAGTTTCGGGGGAACAACTTAAAAATCGATTAACAAGCGCGTAATTATGGACATAATTTGTGTGCACAAGTGTCGCAACAACAACAACAGCAACAATCAGCTGATATATGAGCCAAATGAAAGTAAATGCCAAGAGATTCAAGCGAACAGCTCAAAATACCAATGACCAAAAAAAATGGCCTTGAACTTGAAACTTGGCCAGGAACATTTTAGCGATTGGCTAAGAGGGAGGGGCGGGGAGGGGGAGGTACACACGAGGCTGTCACTTTTACTCAGGCATTTCAATTCTTGTGAAGGGCTCTTCAGCTCAGGCAAATGCAATACGAAATTTTTGTAAGGTGAACCAGTGCTACGCCCAGTTTAACTCGCGTGTGTCCGTGCGTGTGCGTCTGTGTGTGTGTCTCGGTGCGTGCCAGACAAGGTTAACACCTTTCCTTTTGAGAGCGAGTGAGAGAGAGACAGAGACTCGCCAGTTAATTGAATAAGTGTAATAACAAGACAAGAGATTGCGCATACGCCTCGTTGCACGGCGCATGTTAATTAAAATGGGATATATTTATTTGATTTTATTATATAAGCAATTGTCGCAGCCAAATAACAATTTGACCCAACAAAACGTTAATTCACTGCAGACAATCGGGCAATCAGTCAATCGGGCAATCAGCCAATTGGCCAATCCATCATATAAGTATATCAATGGACTCCCTTCATTAGATCTGGCTTCGCAGATCAATCGCAACACGTCAGCACGATAGCTGCCAGCTTAATTAATCCAGTTTTTATGGAGCGTCTTGTTTAAATTAGTTTGACATTTAAGTTTCGGCCGTTGGCTACTGCCACCGCGACTGTTATTCATTTTTTCGTGTCTCGCCGTCATCTGTGGTCATAAATATTCGAATTTCTGGCACTGACGCGCTCATCATAAATTGCCTTTTAGTGCCACACACACACACACACACACACACGCAAAAAGCAGCTATGCTGAAATGTGAAAAGAGCAAAGCGATGCCTTTGGCATTCAAATGAACAGATCTTATGACTTAGAGATCAGCGTCGCGTCCAACCAGTTGAGCGGGTGTACGGGCCAGTCCCCAGATCCAAAATCCAAAACCTACTGACGTGTTTGATGATGAACTTGATGTCGATTCAACAAGCAACATTTGTTTCTTATTTGGCCAAAAACCAAAAGTTGTTCTTATGTAAATTGCGGCTTTTGCTCGCATTTATATTTAATTATGTTAATTAAACAAGCGTTGAATGCGGCAAATAAGGCTCATAAAACTGGTCACCTAGCACGACAACATAACACAAGTAGGTACGACTATTTTTGGGGTGCTTTTTGTCCAAATACCCCCACAAAAGATTTAATCTTTTAGCTCTGTAGGAAGTGATAGAACAGCTAGGCAAATAAAACTCATGTTCCTTATGCATTTTAAGAAACTTACATTTGTTATAAATAATCAATATATGTCTCACATTATGTGAACTGAGAGAAAATTTCACAATAATTATATATGCACACCTTGGAATCAGCCAGAAATCAAATCTTCACTACAAAGAAAAAAACGCAGCTGAAATCAGTCCTTCCCACCAAATGGATAAGAACTCCCATATTATATAAAATAAGTACATTTCTATAATTAAATAAACTGAAATTAAGTACAAAATACATTTCGAATTAGTTAGAATTTGCTTACTTAACCATTTAAATTAAACTGCGATCGAATCTTGAATATAGAAGATCTGGGATTTAAAAAGAACAAAAACAATCGTTTTACTTTTGAACCAGTTCAAGTCGGATATTCCAATTAATTTTAATATAAACCAAATTAAAAAAAAACCCAGTTGTCATAAATCCACCGAAATTAAAATTCAAAATTGTTTTGGTTAAAAATAGAAACTTTTGAGGGTGAACTAGTTCAAAGGTACAAATAACTTTGGCCCCAACCATGGCATTTAATCATACATATTTGGTAGATGCTAATTTTGGGTGGAGTTTAAATTTAACTCGCATTTTGTGTTTGAAATTATATATATTTTGCAATATTTTCGGCAAAGCGGGCAAATAAAATTAGATATAATAGGAAAAATAAATTATTTTATTAAAATTAATACAAATAACAAACTCAAATGAATCACAATCGGGGTTTAATTATGTGTAAGAACAGGTTAAAGAAATAAATCATAACCGTTCATAATTAAATTTAAATATTCTCTAGCTTGAGTATAGTATTAAAGTTTTAAGCTTAGATGAGATTGAAGAAATGCCTCAAATAAGCACATTTTTTTCCCAAAAATTCCCACAAATTAGCGAATTCTTTCTGCAAGTGTACTTATACACAAGTCCACAGCTTCAGTCAGCTTTATGAATGAGATTTAAAAATTTGCGCTGGTTTTTTCTGTCTTTGCTGAACAATGGGTCAAGTTGGCAGCACTGTCTGCAGATTCATTCACTGCGCTTGCGCTCAACCTACCTCAATGTGCCAAGCTTGTTTTGGCTCTTTGGGGCCAAAGCTGGCTGGGAGGCTGAGTCGAATCTGAATCCGAATCCGAGTCGGAATCCGAGTCGGACTGAGCTCCGCTGAGCGTGCGTATAAAACCAATTGAGCGGCGGCCGAGGAACCAGTTGAGCGCAGACCTTGCCGCAATCGCAGTGCCAATTCGAGCCGAGACACAAATGCATTTGGCCAAAAGAAGTTCGTGTTAAAGAAACGCAGCAAGAAATTATAAATATATATTACATTTGGTTTTTGTGGCTTTGTGAGTTTCTTTGCGTTTGCTGTGTGTTTTCTGTGTTTGCAGCCAAAATCAAAGCTAGAGTTAAATTTGCCGTTGCCGTCAAGTGTTTAGTTTGGCTTGGCTGGGCTTTTATTCGTGCGACGTGCGCCCCAGCGAACGGTTGTTGTTTTGTCTTTGTATCTTTGTATCTGACGGATACGCGAGACCCGCGCGCGAGATACTCTCTGCGAGTGTGTGTGTGAGCTTTGAGTGTAAACTGCTGTGCGTGTGAAGAAAGAGCAATATTTATTACAAAAAAAAAAAAAAATAGATATATAAAAATTGGTGGCGAAATAACGCCAACAACAATTGCCGATGAATTGCCAGCAGCAAGAGCAGAAATAGTTTTTCCAGTGCAAAAAGCGAAAAGTTCATTACATAAAACGCAATTGTGTTAAATATCGCAGCAGATCGCACGCTGTTTAAGCCAAATGCAAATGCGTTGAATTTTGGCTAAAGTGCTTACACATTTGGCAAGCAAGTGAGAGAGTGAAAGAGAGAGGGAGAGACTCTCAGTTGGATAGCTTGGCCCTCAATGGTAGGTAAAATGTTCATCATCCTCCTCTGCTCCAGTTGCATTTGCAGCTCCAGCTCCAGTTTTAGCTGTTATACAATGCGTGCTCCACATTTGACGGCCTGTTATGCAATAATTGTCAAGCTTAATGATGTATCGATGCTGGGCTGCCATTAACATTAACATATTTAATGCCTAGTCGCGAATGGCAGAAGACGAGGCCAACATTTGGCCTTAATTTGACGACCAAATGGGCCTCTGTGTCAGGCACTTGCCAATTGGCCAAGATTGAGCAGCAGCTGCCAGACTAGACAGAAATAGCTGAGCAAAGCTCGTCATGCGCGCAGCTTAGTCAACAGAATGTGAGGGGGATTTTTCTGATCGGATTTCAAGTTTTTGGCTATTGCTACAGAAATGCCATTCCTGGAAGTGCTTAAATATAATTTAATTCTAGACATAAGGCGCTTAACAAGGAAACTTAATAACCCCCAAAATATGAGATTGAATTTCAGCAATGAAAAATAAATTACGTGCAAAAAAAGAAATAAATAATTGACAGATAGTTTGCAGATTGACAGATATGTGAGGGAGTTATAAAGTCTATATTTGATATGTGAGATATAATGAGAAGTTAGAATTTTTTGGCGCCTAGACAAAAAAATAGACATAAAGCATAGTTTAAGCACAACAGTTTTAAAGCTGAGCGACAACTTTGCATATAAAAAGGCAGATGCACAGCTCGCCAGCTAATTAGACTGGGCTCTTGATAATGATTAAAATACATTATATATATATTATATATACACAAAATTACACACTTCATGGTAATAAATAATATATATAATTTCTAACACCGAGAATATATTGACGCATGCAGACTGGCAAAATGTGGCATATTTCCAGTTTTGGAAGTTTCGTATAAAAATATGTCATGCTTGGAAGGGCTCAAGAGGTGTATTGAAATGAAAAATAATTATGATTATATCTGGCTTTGGTCAGCTTAAACTGAAACCTATTAATTCCATTATATGAGATTCGAGATATTTTATTCATGAATACAAAGTTGCAATTGTCGACAGCGCGACGCTGCTGCAATCGATAAATTTGAAAAGTGCCAGCGACAAAAACTTGTTGTCGTAAATGTTGTGTGTGTGTGTGTGTGTGTGTGTGTGTGTGTGTGTGTGTGCGTTTGTGTGCGTTTGTGTGTGTGTGTGAAAGACACTTGACTAGCAGTGCAGAGCCACCCGCTCAGCTTGGCTTGGCAGCACATTCTTGGAAAATCTTTAACCTAAGCTTAGCTAGCTGAAATGCTCGTGTGGCTGAGTGTGTGTGTGTGTGAGCGTGTGAGTGTGGCTGCGATTGCTTGCACATCATTTGGCCCGCTGGCGTTGTGGGGTTTTACAATGTTGTGTGTAATTCATTTGCATTGTTTAACCGTGCACCGTTTTCTTCTTTAGCCGCAATAAAAAGAGAAATAGGAAAAAAAAACGGCTTGGAGCAAAAACGATTTACATAAAATTTATTGCTGCCACATTACAAAGCAGTTAGTTAGTTAATGTTGCAATTGTTGTTGCTGCTGATGCTTAATTGTGTGAGAAGCCAACGAAAAGCCATTTGGTCAACTGCCGGCACATCACGTATACGCCACGTGGCGAGCCTTGAACTCGGCTAGCATTTGAAACCGGGATGCCAGCCGGTTCCAAAATACACGTCTTGGTCTGGTCATGCGACAATAGGCAATCGATACTTGTATTAATTACGAGTGGATTTTAATTATTTATTATTACTATTATTATTATTGGCTGTGGCAAAAGACAAGGCAACGGGTGGACGCTTCCAACTAGCAAATTGGCTGCCAATTGCTTTGCTAAACTACGAGAGAAGTTTCTGATAAATACGGCAGCTGTTATATGTATTTATCGACATTGGGAAAAGAGATAACTCATGGAAGCCCTTACTTGATATATATATATATTTAAATATTTTGTCGACTGTCTTGAGATGCGGCTTTGTTTAAATAAAAAGTTGCAAACAGTTTTATTTAATATTCAATATCAATCTTTTTTTTGTTAATAAATATATTAAATTGGGGCTCTTCTTTTACGTACATATATTTAACTCAGCCGAAGATGCTTTCATTTACAGGGTATCATAATTGCGTTAAATGTGCGATCATCTGTTGTAAAGGCTGCCTAATCGCCACTTCCAAGGCACAAAATTCGCAAATAAAATATTAAAAAAAAAAAGGTTTTTGTATTGGATTTGGTTTTATTTCTGTTTTTATTTGACTTGTTTTTTTTTTTTTTTGGTCATCTGTGGCAAAGGAGGCAGCAATCAAGGCGATCAATCAAAGCACCTTCAATGGGCTGTTACCGTAGCGAATTGTGCAAGGTAATGGTAATCAAAACTATCCACATATATTTATATATAATTTTATATATATATGTCTTGTGATGAGCATCTGCCCAGATAACTGAACTTCTGCTCGTTGTTTGTTGCCCTTGTAACGAATATTCGAATATTTGAAACAGACGCGAATAGCTGGCTAGCCGATATGTTAATGTCGTATTGTCCGCAGATCGAAGCTGGAGAAGCTGCTGGTCAGCGGCAAATCGGAGGATTGTTTGGCATCGGTAGCCGAATCGCGGTTGTCTTTGCCTTTTGTTGTCGAGCTAAGCTGATGGCATTTAACTCAACGAATCGATCGATGGATCGATGGATCGTTGGATCGATTGATGCTTGATGGGGCTGCGTTTAATGGAATCTTAATGAATTATTAGTTTTGTGCGGCCTTTCAAGCTGACAAGCTCTAAATGTTAACAAAAAAAAGCGGGTTTTGAACAACAAATTAATAAAAATAAAAATAAAACCAGCGGAAGTGACATTTTAGTCTTAAAAACGTGTCTCGATTTGTGGGCGGAGCTTTGTTTGAAAAAGACATTCCATGATATCAGCCAGATATGAGAAGCCTTTTGTTTTTATTTATTTAACTGCAATTAACTTGTTATTTCTCAACAACTTATTAGCCAAGGTTGAAGTTCCCCTGATTTGTTTTCTTTTCGGTTGTCTAACAGCTTTATTTGGCGAATTTCTTTATTTGAAAATGAAATTTGCACATTTAATTTTTATTAATGATTTCATTAGGAAACTGAAACAAAAATTTATGATATATTTTCGTACGGTTTTAATTTTATATTAATTGCCTGCGTCAACTTTGAAACAAATCTAAAAATCAGTTAGTTTTGTCACGCCAACAAAAAGATGCTCGGCGGGTTTCCAATTGGCAATATTTATTTTATTTATTTGTTTAAGATCTTGGCATGTTTTTTTTTAATTTATGTTTTATTAGCGCACTTTGGTGTAGCTGTTTCATTTTATATATACTTTTTACTGTCATCTAGTCTGGCTTTGACTTGGAGCAGGTTTTTTTTACTCTTGTTTTTGGGCGAGCGATCAACTTTTATATACCCTGAAGCCATTGAAAATGTGTAAAGAGGGTATCATGATTTTTCACCAGGTGTGCGTAGTAGGAAGAAGAAAGCAGCTTCGCCCATCTCAAGCACATTAAATCTTGATCTTTAACTGAGTCGATTCTATCTGTTTGTGCTTCTGCTCTAGACTTTAGACTTGATATTTTAAATATTTAATATCGTATACCAGAGTATATATTTTTTTTCGGGAGTTTCCAACACTTTCATAATGTCTATAAAGCTTGATTTTGCTACCTGGTTTATTAGGTATAACCTGAGAATTATAAAAGCTAGGTAGACTTGGCTTGCCTTTATATATATGCAAAAATGTTCATATGCTATAAATACTACTGAAAAATATTTTAATCCTATATTTAAGCATATATCTTAAGAAGACCTTCCCCATTTCCCAGAAAGTAAACAATTTTTTTAATATTATTATTTAAAGCATAAGCCTTCTGCTTTAGTTTATATAAGCAATTGAATGCCATATTTAAGCCCTGAGGATAGGGCTATACGCACCGAAGTTAACCGGGAATATCTTCCCCAGACAAGGTGAGGGGTTAGGGGAAGAAGAAGCACAGCCGAAGCATCAAATATCGAAGGATATTCAAATGTTTGTTTTGTGTGCTTATAGGGTATCTCCTAGTCTGGCCCGATTAGAGCAATGTTGATTGCTTCCTTTTTTTTCTTTGCGAGCGATCAACTTTTAACTGATTTGCTGCCCGGTTTGTTTGTGTGTGTGTGCGTGAGTGTGTGTGTGTTTTCGATATTGATTTTTCGTATTAAGCGCATTTCTGCGTACCGTTTTTCAAGGCCAATAATCAAGGGGTGGGCACCGCGGCCAGGTGGGACAGGGGACACGGGACAGAGTCGGGCTGGTCAAGCTGGTCAGCTAACAAGTTTTCTTGCTGTTGATCAATTAAATGAAATTTTAGCTGTTGTTGTTGTTGTCGCTTTAATAGCGTTGAAATATATGTGCAAAAGTCCAAGTGTCAACCGCGTCGCGGTTGGGCCGCCGCCAGCTGCTGCGGCTTAGCCCCATCTTTGGCCTAATCAATTGAGCTGCTGGGGATGGAGTCTGGTGAGATGATTAAGCCATGTTTGCACTTATGTAAGTGCTGTACGATAACGGGCGGCGGCCATAAGTCGTCTCAAGTGTCGTCATCTGGCGTTTCAACATTTTTCTTTCATTTTTCTTTTCATTTCTGTTTTTCACCTGTGCATTGTTGCCGGCGAGCAGTTCCGCCAATTAGCGACGCTTCCGCTGCGACAGACCAAAAAATTTCTCAGCTCTGGCTTTTCCTCTTAGTTTTACTTGTTTGTTGTCGCCTAAGCCTGACGCCAAGCCATTTTCTTTGATGAACAACGAAATTTGAAATTAAGCATAAATTGTGGGATTTGCTGCTGTTGCTGCTGCAGTTGTTGTTGTTGTTTTTGTTGTTGTGTTACGACAAATTAAATAATTTGCAATTTGCATAAATTAAGGGGCCATCAAACATTGCGCCCTCGGTTACACGTCAAAAGCTTACAAATTAGTGCGAAGTTTCGCAAATCAACGCTGACAAACTTCCGAATTACCAAAAAACCAAAATACAAAATACAAACAACAAAATCCAAAACAAACTTTCCAAAAATGTCGCGCATGCGTACGGAATGCAAAAAAAAAAAATAATACAGAAAGAAATAAGCAAGGCCTTGCAGACACAGACACAGACAGAGACACAACAAATGCCCAAGTGTAGCTCAGCTTGAGGTTTTGGGATTTTTAGCCGTTGTATATTATGTAAGTTGAGAACCGCGCTCGCCAAGCAGCCAAGCAGCCAACAAGCCAAGCAAATTGATGGCCCAGTCATGGCTGGGTCTCCCCCCAAAGACCCCAAAGATAGACTCGGTTGCAGGTATTTTTCCAAGCGCTTCTCACGCTTGTCAGAAAATGTCAAAAGTGACGCCGCTGCACATTAAAGACAAGCAACTACAACTAGAGAAAAGCCAAGTACACCGAAGCGTGAATGCCCTTTCAATACAATTTGGAAAGGCACGAAATGAACGAGTGAGATCTTCAGCTCCAATGGGAACAGAAAGAGAGCTTAAATATAAAACGTAGGTTTATTGGTCTCTTAGATCCACACGTTTATAAATATAGAATGACAGATAGGCAAGCGGAGATGGTTATATATTTCTACACTTATATTTCTTTTATGGCTTTTCTGTCTCTTAAATCGACATATTTATAAACATAGACAGACAGAGAGACAGGCGGAGATGGTTATTTATTTCTATACCTTAAATATATATCATTTATATTCTTTCTATACTTTATGGTCTCTTATACCGACTGAAATAGAGATAAACGGATAGACAGACGAATAGGTCTATATATTTATATACTTCAAAGGTTCGGAGATGCTTTGCCTATTGCCTTCATTTGCCCCAAGCCGCATTACCTTTAGCCTCTGGCTGTTGTGTGTAGTCTTGTGTGTAGTTACAAGCCACATAATATATTCATGCAGCTATTAGCTATACTCTACATTTAATAAGACGCGCAATTTTTTTGCAGAAATTTTGACGCACGCTTAAAAGCCTTGCCTCTGATAATAGTTGCAGCAGGCAGGCAGGGGGGACGGATTAATTGGGAGGGTGCAAGTGTGGGGGCAGGCAGGCAGTCGGGCGCCATGGTCAACGAAAAGGTGAAAGACAAAGAGCCAATGGACGGACCACATTGGCTCTGCTGTGTCATCTTGCAGGCGCCTCTTTGTTTAGCTGCCTGAAAATGAGTTTTTGGTTCGTCGTAGCCCCCGCGCCCTTTCCTCGCCTGGCTGGGATAGTTGGCTCGTCTGCCTGGCCGGGCTGACCTTTAAAGTCGCCTTCACTTCGGCGAGCGGCAGCCAAAGAAAAATCTGCATATCATTCATTTTGTGGCAGGCAAAAGTTCGCTCTGGAGCTGGAGCTGGGATTGTTTCTGTTCCCGCTGCCTTAAAATTAGTTGGAAATGCGCGGGAGGCGAGAAACAATTTACGATTATTTGTCTGCTGCAAGACTTAAGACGATGTTAATCGTCGTGCTTGTCCGCGCAGCCGGCAGCCATAAATTTCAAGAAAATGTCAAGGATTTGCCAGAAGAGAAAGAGATGCCCGCACAATAAAATGCAATCAGCGATCCGCTAATCGCTCAACCGGGTCGCGGCGCGGCTTGGAGGCCTTGTTGACACGTTAATTGGAGTTAGCCCAGACAAAAAACAAACCACAACAACAACGCAAATCGTGAGCAAGGTCGCCTTTTAAAATGGTTTCTTTCTTTTACGCGCCGGGTTGTCAGTCAAATAAAAAAGTCAAATAAATAAAAATCAAAGGCAACAAATCAATTTGCATAAATAAATTCTATTGCTGATTGGATCTGCTATTGAATTATTGTCTTTTAATAGCATTTCAAGCGTTTGCTTTGTTTTGTTTAATTCTTTTTTTTTTCTTCCTGCTCTTGGCTAGTGCTGTGTTAATTTGACAGTCGCTGTCAAATGATTGATGTGAAGTTATGCGTATGAAATTGCTTTGAATATGCCGTGCCTTAGAATTGCGCACAGAAAGTGGGTCAAGACAGCGTCTAGACATGGAGGTATACAAATTTATAGAAAGAATAACAAGATAATAGGAATATATATCCCGATATTGGTGGGCGCAATTTTTATTAGCTTTAATCTGACGGCATCCGGCGCATGACTCAGGCCCAAAGCTCGCGTGGCTTCGGCTCGCCCATGTAAATGGAGATCCACATATGGAGGCTGCGGCTGAAGATTTTGTAATTTAAGTTAATGAATACCGCTGTGTTTGGCGCCAATTAAATGTTGTTTCCAGTTTAATTTTTTATTTTATTTTTCTTTTTTTAGCCATGTGCCTGCTGCCATAAAAAAAAAAGCCAGGCTTCCTAATTGAAAAGCTGCCAGCTAAATGGACGCGTAGCACGAGGCAAACTCTGTGCGCGTGAGAGAGACAGCGAGAGAGCGAGAGAGAGAAAGCCAGATATCAGCGTGTGTTACCAAGAAAGCAGCCAAAACAAACGAGCAACCAAAACACTGGCCAAAATGTGCAGCTCCACAAAAATGGTTTACAGTTATAGAATTTTATGGCTTTCCGGCGTTTTTCTAGGTGAGTTGTGGCCCCAATAACAAGAGAGAGACGGCATAATTGAATGCCAAGTGCGTCGATTAGACGATAACTTTGTGGCCGAATCGATGGCACGCGTGAGCCACATAATAAGTATTAAAACAAGAGTAAGGCAATGAAAGAAGGAGTTTATTGAGCAAGCCGAAAATTGAATACCCTGGCAGACAAATGGCTGACGAAGTTTCGAAGTTCGTAATTGTAAAAATATCAAAATAATTCAAAAAGAAGATAGAGATACGAGTCTTTGTAGTTTTTGTGAATGCTTCATAATAGTAAAAATAATTAAATAGAATAATAAAACCCAAGCTTGATCGCCAAAAACGATTTTCCATGTCAGAGAAATGATATAATAATTCATGTCACAAATATCGGAATAAAATTATAATACCTTTTGTAATATAAGAGTAATTTAAGCTTAAAGCCAATTGAATCTTAGCCTTAAAAAAAAGTTGGTGTCTATAGGAATATATAAATAATGAGTTCTATGAACTTACATTTTATTTTTGTTATTATTATAATTTATTATTATTTAATTACAGCTCCGTTATTGCTGGTCGCTACCGATGCTCAGGAGCCAGCCAGTCCAGTATTTCAGAACCACAAGACGAAGGAATGGACGAATTTAGATAATATAACATTCTCCTTCGATTGTAAGCGGCGTTCAGTGGGCTTCTATGCGGACATGGAATACAATTGTCAGGTGAGTGAAGCAGTTGTGCGAAAGAGAAAGAGAGCGAGACTCAGAGTTTCAGAGCTTTTATAAGTCCGCCTAAAAGTATGCCACAGAAAGAAGCATAAGACCCGACAGTCTGCAATCTATGAGCATGGCTCTAAGATGTTAATACAGAATAAATAAGTATTATTTATAAATTTTTTATTTCAGATATTTCACATGTGCGACGAGGAGGGCAATCGAATACCCCACTTGTGTGCAAATGAGACGAGCTTTAATCAGGAGTACAGAATATGTGATTGGGACTACAATTTTAACTGCACAGAATCGCCGGTGAGTTAAAGTTCATACTTAGTGTAAACAGAATATACAAAATCATTTAAAATGCCCTTTGCATTTTCTTATAGAAATGGTTCTATCTGAACGAGCTGACGTATGCCACAGATCCGCCAGACGAAGACGACGAGGACTATTGAGTGCAAATAAATTAATATTTATTGTCTTTGAGCAGCGAAAACAACTAATTAAATTAAATGGAGCAGAAGGCCGAACGGCGAAATGGAGAGAAATTTCCATTAAATATGTAAACTAATTTAAGAGATTTGTTGACGATTTTGTTGAGTTTCGTTTTGTACAATTGAATGTAGTCTAATTTCGAGAATCGACGGCGATTTTGCTGTGTCGCATGTAAATAATGTAAATAGAAGGCCGCCAAACTAACAGCACGCCGTAATGTAATTTACAAATAATTTTCTGTTGTTTGTAAGCAAATAATAAAAACAAATAAATCGAAATTAAAGTGCGCCCATGAAATGCTCGCAAATAAGATAATTGTTTCGAATTGATGTGACAAAATGTTTTGAACCTATTAAACAAAATATCGAAAAAACATTATACTTTTTTTTTGTATTTCGGGAATCGGAGTGGGAGTCACCGTCAGGCGACTCTAATGGGTAAACAACCCCTGGTGAGTCAAGTTCAATGACGAAATAGAAAGGGTATCGAAAAAAAGCTCAGAGTAGAAAAACACACTGGAAAAACAGGCAGGTGACAGTGCGTGAAATTGCTGCTAGCCGGGTTAACATTTTATAAAATGGCAATGAGCCGACTCTTACAGAATTAGTCTACAAATTGAGCTTCAACTAGCCACAACCAATTTAATATCTAGGCTGGCTTTATTTAATAATAATAATATAATAAACAAAATATATACGATGGCCCGCAAATCCTGTTGCCTGCTGCTGCTTTTCAGCTGCCTCTTTGTGGTAAGTTTAATAGATCTGAGTTTGAGTTTCTTTAAAGCAAACTTTACCTGACTTTACAGATGGCTGCTGCTCAGTATTACACCCAATACAATCCCTACAATACGCCCAGCCCCACATTTTCCAGCCTGAACGGATATTATTATTCTACTACATCTCCTTACTATTACCCTACGGCTAGTACTTATCTGAATGATGTCCGGATACGCATTTGGCCTTATGTCATTGGACAGTATCTGTATCCGACGTACTACAACAACAACTACTACAATCCCTATGCCTCATTGAGTACACCCAACTGGCAGAGCTACTACTCGAGTGTCTATCAAAATAACTGGGGTAAAAAGTAGTTTATTAACTTATCAAATAGTTTCATGTTGTTCAATAAAAGTTAAATAGATTTATTTCAATGACTTTCTAACTGTGATTTGGTCTGAGCTCATTAGTTACCAGCAATTTATTCAGAAATAAATAAAAGCGCTCTATTCGGGAGTTCAATTGGGAGATATCCTGTATCCAGTGCTAAGCTGCCTTTACAAACATTTTAGCTTCCTCCTATATAAATATATATAAGTTCTCAGATCATGAATGGGCTATGCATCTAACCTTTGCTCCACACAATGCATGGTAAATGCAATAAATGAGTTTCTTCGGGGCTTATAGTCTCATCATTATAAAAATTTTTGAAAATATATACGGAGCTTAAAAGTACGTATATACCACAGGGCATGTCCCTGCTCTGAATAATCTGTTCTCGATTCCAATTCTGAATGAAATATTTAATAGAGGAGGATTAGAGGAATTCCTCAATTTCTGTATACTTTCACGTTTGATGTAACCCCAGGTAGTTTCATCAAATTTTGTCAAAATTGAGAATATTATTATTTCCAAAATCGGACAGAATTTGGTCAAAATATTCCAAAAAATCTTTAAAATAGTTTTACACCATGACAGAGTCGACATTTGCAAATATTTTTTAATTTGATTGATTGCCAATCGATAGTAGGGATTCGAAATAATTCGTAAAGGTATAACATGCCAAAATCAATTATTTTTAAAATATCTCAAATGCATGTTTATCAATGTAAGAAAAATAGTAGCAAATATCAAAAAAATTAAATGTTCTGGGTATAGAAAATATATATATCCTATATTAAAGCTCTTGCTATTGTAATTTTGTGATCAAGACTGTAGGTTCGGAAGCGATAGCGTCTGTCCGTTATATGCATTTTTAACCATAACCAAAGGCAATAAAAATATATCTGTTATGTTATTTTCTAACAATGTAAGTTGAACGCCAAAGCCAAATCAGAAACTTTCCGGTCATTTGGTGCACTGTTACACGAGTAGAACATTAAAATGTAAATGATATAATCTAATGATGTCATTTTGATAACCAGCTAGGTAAGAGTCATGTCATAGGCGTGAAGACCGTTAGGAAATAGAGTCGAAAAGGCAATTTTGACGGCTTTTGACACATTTCGAGCAAACAAGCAGCCGCATCAAGTCCCTTGGCATATGCAGACTTAGGCCCACAGACGATGTCGTTGACTTGTCGCGACTTGGGCACACCGCTGGCCATGACATTAGGACTGGCTGTGCGTCGCGATTGCCACATGTGGCTAACGGATTTCACACACTGCCGCCAAGCTGCCAGTTGCCAGTTCGGTTGCATTATGTAATAGAAAATGGCTTAAACAAATATTTGGACTGCGAGCCGAGCAATGAACTTGAAATCCAAGTACAGCTGCACTTTGAGGTAATTATTAGCCAGCCAGCAGTTGCTTGACTTTTGACCCACTTTTGTCGATGTCTTTGGAAAGGTATAAATACCAAGCTGCGCCCTAAGCCAAGTTCTAGATAACTGTAAGTTTCTATTAATGGGTATCAATGGGGAATTATGTTAGAGGAATAAAGAAAACAGATATGCTCTAGTATAAATAAGCTTATCAATACGCATTTTTATCATGCAAAGCAGCTGGTGGGAGAAGAGATCGAACCAAGTGAATGGGCTGCTCAATGGGAGGTAAATAGAGAGTTACAAATAGAGAGAGAGAGCGAGAGAGAAAGAAAGAGAGAGAGAGAGAGAGAGTTGGCTTGGAGAAAAAATGGGTCAAAACAAGCACAAAAAGCGGGTAAACGGCAGCCGGCAAATATGATAGGGTTACACACAAAACAAGAAATGCTCAAGAGAAACCGAAATGGAAAGTCGACTTTTTTATGCCCTCTCTGTGGTTATTTAAATGCCGGAGACTATGACTGTCTAGGTAGAGGTGATATATATATAATATATGTTGAAGTTGAACAGAACGGAAAACGCTATCATTTGCCAGCATTTGAATTTTTTGAGATTTATATAAAAGAGTATCTTCTGTAGGATATTACATAACCAAACCCAAGTGTGGCATATGTCAATGGTATTTAAAGCTCGGCTTATTCTTGTAATATTTATATTTTGTTGGAAGAATCTCCATTTAACGTTATAGATTATATAGCTCTTAGTCATAGACAAAACCAGATACCTAGTTAGTATGCCCCATTCTGTTGTTGGTGCCACATGTTGCAATGTAAATACACGAAACGTGAGAGCAACGTCTCCTACTCGAGCAGCAGGGCAATGGGTTGCGACGTGTTGGGTTTTGGGTGGCTTGGCTTTGGCGCTGGGTGGGTCAATCGCGCCGAGCCCCAATGCCTCGTAGCCGTCTGCCATCTGCTCGGCTATTGTGACGTCAGCAGCAGCGAGTTTTTGTCACGTTCGCAAAACAGTTTTTGTGCTCTGGGCATGGCACGACTATTCGTAATAGAGTCAAAAAGAGCTGAGGAGGAGCTGGAGACGACATTGAGTCGGCATTTTTGGTGCGGGTCTCATCTGACTGCTGCCGTTTATGGGAAAATTGTGAAGAAAGTGTTGAAAACGAAATTGTAACTGAGAGAGAGGCGAGAGAGAGAGAGAGAGAGAGAGAGAGAGAGAGTTATAAAGCAGAAGCGCTGGCCAAAGCCGAGACTGGTCGGGCGAGAGCAAAATCACTTGGTCCAACTCCAAGTCCAAGTCCAAGTGCAGACTTTACCTGCTGGCTGAGACAACGGCCAGGTGGCAGTCAACGGACACATCTCAAGCACTGCAGTCGCGGAACAGAAGCAAACAAAATCCAAAATTCAATACGAATTGAAATCGCATCTCCCTGGCTTCTGCTTTAGCCAGAGTCAAGTCTTAACAATTTGCGTGTGTGCTATGTGCTTTTGTTTAGCTTTTGTTGCGTGAAAGTCGTTGAAGCATACAATTCGTTGCAGTTAGTTAATTCGCAGCCGGAGTTCAATGAAATAATTAAGGATACGTACAATATATAACAACAGCAAATTATTCAGAGAAACTGCAATATACAAGAGGCAGGCTCTATTATACCAAGCCAGGCAGCTGCTATCCAAAACAAATTATCATGCTGGTAAGTAAACCAGATTCGAATCGCAACTCAAGAGTTTATTCTCATGCCTGGCACGCGCTTCGTGGCCGCCTTACCTCAATTCCTGTGTGTTTTTCGCGCCAATGACAAAAGGGACAACAATGTTGACAAAATGCTTTTAAATGGGGCCCAGTTCTGGCTATGTCTACAATGGTTTATTGTTGATTTTAGGTTTTGTCAACTTTCTATTGCCGGCCAGGTCTAAGTATCTTAAGTGCTCTGTTATTAAACGCGTTTTCGCTCGATTTTTTTGTGTCATGAACTGTGACTTTTACTGCCGCATTACATACTCCATTATTGCCATTAGATAATGCTCACTTGTAAATTTGTAATTACATTTACGTATCTGTCGCTGTCGCAGCCACGCGCCTTCATTGCATCAGCTGCTAACGATGTTATAGCTGGTTTTATTATTAATTTTATTGTCATAGTTTTATGACCACTTGCCTGATGAGTTAGAGGGGATTTTTATATAATTTAATGTGACTGTTTTTTGGGCGTGTGGCCCTCATAAACTCATAAGACTTCAGATAATGGTCAATAGTTTACAAGCCCACGCAAATATTCTAATTCCCATAAACCAAAAATAAAAAAAAAGGGAAAGAAAATTTTATGAAGCTCATAAAAGGGAAAATTCGTAAAATTAAACAGCCTTGCCCACAAAAGTACACCCATATATGTGGCACACAAAAAAAAAAAAATGTAATGAGTTTAATTTGTATTATTAAGACTTCATTAGGTTAATTTTTTTATTGTGTTCATTGTGTCACAGATTCGACAGTGATTCATGGAAATTTTAAATATGTCTACGGCAAAATATATTTATACTAATTATAATTAAGTTCGACCATTCCCATAGTTAAGCAAATTGCTCACCGCATTAAATGTAAATAGAACAATTGAGTATTACACAAGACAACGCAAGGTGTTCTTCAACAATTGAAAGGTTTCAATATTCAACACTTTCCATTTTAACAAGCCAATTTGAGTCATCAGCGCTCTTGAAAGTGCTAAAATTTTGGGTAAATGTAAAATAATTTCAGAAAAAAAAAAAAAAACGGAAACCAACGTGGGGTAAAGGTAAATTGTTTAACACCAATTCAATGAGATGCTTCTGGCGAAATTTTGCGGCTGGCTAAATACATATTTATATACAATAATTTTTTTTATATATACAAAACAACCAAGTTAAACAAATTTCACCTGGTCTCCTTTGATGTTTATTGGTGAATTTTAATTTGGTTACATGGAATGACGAGATCAACTGAGAAGCGATGTAAATTAAATTATGCTGCAGCTATAAATTTGTGGGCAGTCTGAAAAAGACACAAAGTGAAACTAAGCTGGAAAAACTACCTTCGCAGCAAATTGGTCCGTCTAAATATATGTAAATAAAGTTTTATTCGATTTGATGCGCCTTTTCCATATTGTTTATCGCGCGTGTTTGTATTCAAATAGAAGCGCAAATTAAATTCCATTTTCAACGTCTCTTGCATCATAGTAAAAGCCTTTCTTTCGATTTTCTTTTTGTCAAAACAAGCTGTTACTGCAGTTATCTAAATATATTTAAGCTTAACTTATATTAAATCAAGGCCAGCTGGCGGATTTCGCTTTACAGTTACAATAACTTGAAATTCATCTTCAAGAATTTGACCGACAAAACTTGACCACGAAAAAAAACAAACAAAAGATTTAATAACAACAGCAGCAAAAATAGTCAAAAAGTCAAAACGTTTTAAATAAATCTTATTGTATAACACAAAGCGCTAACAAATTATGTTAAGCCAACGGATTCCACTTGACATGCGAATTCTTTGTGACCTAAAACTAATTAAATTGTCTCAGAATCAGTTTTGATTAATTCTTTTAGCTAAGCCATTTGCTTGGATGGAATGAAGCCAACCGTTAGTTCCACATAATTTGCGCACAACCAACAAATGTTTGGCCACGCACCAGGGAATTTTTGGGGCCAGCACAATTAGAAATCTCCAAAATATTTTCTATTTATGTGCAGGCAAGTTGCCAATAGCTACAATTGGTTCTGACTTTAACTAAAAAGGGAAAGCGTCTATACCCGCAGCTCTCGGGGTTGAAAATGCAGCTTGAACAACTAATTAAGCGTTGGGTATCGCGGGCCTCGAAGGGCTATTTAGATATCTAAGTTATAATAGAAACTTTGAAAAAACATTTAATGATAATTGTTCAGTTCTTATCTGATTACCTAATGCTGCTGCCAGTCGAATTTCACTTTTGTCAAAACTTTTTGCAACACACCCAAAACTGAGACAATATAACGAAATATTTCGAGATTTATGTGGAATTTGTTTCTTTTGCTAATTTGCATAGTGCAAATATTAACATACAAATTGCTGCCCACAACTTGGGCAGCAAAAAACGGCAGCAACAACGAAAAACCATCTATTGCCACGAATGTGTTGACACAAATTTCGAAAAAAAAACTAAGTTGCTTGACCGCAAGAGCATTACATAAAAGGCGCAAGACTTGCGGTTCGTGAGGGGCGTCAAAATGGAAATTGCTGCAAGCAACAATATGGGTCGTAAAATATTTTATGAGTGCGGTGCTTTTCTTAAGTGCATTCTGGAAAGCATTTCACAGCGTACACACCTGTTACACTGTCAACAGTCTGCACTATTACAAGGTACTTGAGAGCAGGTTCGCTGCCTAAGTCTTTCGTTTACGCAATTTCCGTATGGCGAATGCGTATATGATGAAATGCGTTTTAAGCGTCTTTTCATGTCATTGCTGAACAATGCAGCCACACAAGAAACACACACACACTCTTGACAATTTCTCTAATACGCTTTGTACTTTCAGTTTCTCACAAAGAGTTCAAGTGCGCGACGCTCATTGTTGGCTTTGGTGCTGGCGTTGTGCTTTTTGAGCTGCGCTCTGGGCGCCAAAATAAGCAAGAAGGTCGAAAAGCCTCCGTCTAATGGCAATGCAGACAAAGCCGAGCCAGCAGCAGCGGCAGCTGCACAGGCAGCCGAAGGCAACAATGAGAAGAATGAAGACGAGGAAGCTGATGACGAAGATGAGGAGGATGAGGATGATGATGATGAGGAGGAGGAGACGGAGGCGGAGAAGCAGCCATCAGCAGATAAGGTTGATGCAGTAGCTGCCACAGCTACCGGCAACAAGAACGAACTGCAGCCGGCCGTTGATCCAACAGATCTCAGCGTTTGGGGCATGGTGCGGACACTTTGGAGCTGGCTGCGCAGCGATCTCAGTGAAAGTCTCTTTGGCGATGACGACGATGAAAAGCCAGCTGCCGTGGGTGGTGAGTATATGCGACTGAAACTGATCCACATTTCCCATCAATTAGTGTGTCGTTGATAACATTTACGCAATCGGCCGGCCCTTTCAATCATCGATGATTAGCGACTTCTCTAATTAACTTTGATTTCCCAGCGCGCCGCCTGACTCACTTTCGTTTTCAATGAAACCTGACGCGCTCGACACAACTAGAAGCAACAGCAAAATAAAATAAAATAAAAAGCAGACAAGACAAACAACAAAGATGCCTAAAAGGTGTTAACGCACGGCACACAGACATAATTTTGTACATTTTTTTTTTTGAGAGTTCGCTTGACTTCGCGTTGATCTACGAGTCCGGGTTGTCCGCGATTTTCATAGCAACACCCTGCTGTAATTTCACTTTCGGCACTCTTTTTTCTAGACTCGCGCGAATTATTATTATTATTTTTTTTTAAAAGCGCACACGCATCTTTTAATGCTGGGAAAATATTTATTATTTTTGCGTTTCGGGCGCCTATTTTTATGGTCTTTCGCATTGCTAAGCGTTCAGCTCTGTTTGTTGATGAAATTATCGTTATAAGCGGATAATAAAAAAATAACCAAGATTAATTTGGCAGCGATGCCAATTCAATAAACATTTTTGAGGTTTTGGCACTTAAAAACCCAAGACATGGGAGGCAAGGCTCATTACAGCGCAGTTTTCCTCAAATAATAGGTGTTTTCGGCATTGCAAAAACAAAAGACTTAGGAAACGAACTTTATGGCAAGATAGATTCTTTCTCAAAACAACTATTCTGATTTCTTTCTTTACAGAGGGCCGCACCTTTGGGAAGATTCGTCGTCTACAAATGGCTTTGGTGCCCATCATCTTTAAGTTCGGCGTACTCTCCGCCATGGTTGCGTTCCTTGTGGCCATTGGCATGAAGTCCCTCTTCCTGCTTAAGGTTTTGGTCGTAATGAACGCACTTGCTATTCTGGGCAAATTTCTAACTCTGAAGACAAGCCTATTCGGGCAGTACGAGCACTCGGCGCCAAGCTTTAGCTATCCTGGATGGAATCCACATGCTAAGGAGTCGTGGGGTCCTACAGGTCTGAGCGGGTCCCCTTCGGGGCCACATCATCCCAGCAAGGAGATTCATTTACACATACACGGCAATGCCCAGACCCAGGCACAGTTGGCCGGCCAGAGCTATAACTATGAGACGCAGGGCGGCTGGGCCAGCCGGTCCGATCCTTACAGTACCTACCAGCCCACCGGCCAGTATCAGGATCAGCACACAGCTGAGGTGCCCAACAATACGGATCCGATGTCGCTGCTGCCCACGAAGTATCCGGCGCGCAGCCTGATTCGCTGAGCGGCTTTGACCTTCGGCCAACGACCACCGTGTAAAATTTTAGTCAGCGACTTTTCGGGTGCGCAGCTTTACATAAACTACTTTTAGAAGAACTAGTTGAAAGTTCGAGAGAATTAAATTAGCTTGCTGTAACTAGGCTTAAGACGAATATTGATAAACTATTTAAATTATTTATGATATATGTAAAATTAATAATAAAAAAAAGTAGCCAAAAGAAGGCTGTTGCTTTACTTGACATTTTCGGGTAGCTAAAATAATTAGCAACATTGCTTGACAGCTGCTTCGAATGTGATTGATGTGTGAAGAAAGTCGTCTCCCAGTTCGTCTGCAGCTGTGGAGCATGTGATTAATTAAGCATTTGACATGCTGCCACCGCTGCGATTTCATTTTGGGACTTGACTCAACAATGGGCGTGTGCTGACTTCACGTTTTGCTGCCTAATCATCGACATTATCGCCAACATTGAAATGGAAGCCAAAGTCATGGCCCTGCATGTGTGTACACATTCGTACGATTGTTTTTACGGTAGTCCTCAGGTACAAAAAGCCAAAAACATTTCAAATTTGGCTACGTTCAGCGACGACAGCTTCTGCGCGCTTGCGATTTGTAAGAGGCGCCTGTGCGGGCGGAGTCACTTGAATAACTATTCAGATAAAATATTTACAAGGTATACGAATGATTGGAATGCCCAATGCCTAGGCGAGTTAATTATTGTGTAGATGGTTCTCCAAATTTCCCATCCCCATAGGTTGGTCAAATCTGATCAGATTTTCCTCTAAATTAAACTGACATGCAAATCTGACTACATGATTTTTAATCGAAAATCATGTCAAAATCTTACCCTCAAATATCCTATATATTCAGAGGTTAAAATTTCCCACCTCCATAACTTAGTCAAATCTCATCCGAATTCCACGAAGTTTAGTTCTTTGTCATGGTTTGGTGTATAAATTATTTTGGCATCTTAATCTAAAATTATTTGCGGTCAAAAGTTTTTTTAAACAAGTTACCCTCAAATATCCCATATAGACATTGGTGGAACCTTTATTATTTTATATTATATGTGGCGCGTGCGAGGCCGGGTATACCCGCTAGTCAAACAATTTTTTCAATAATGTCAGAGCTTCCAAGACTGTATTTGTCGGTCCAAGAGTATGCTTGAGTATGTTGAGAGCTCGATTTAAAAATCTTTTACAAATAGCGCTAAAAAGTATGCAACATTGAAATCAAGTTTGTGCCTAAAGTCTTTCGATTAAAATGTGTGAAAACACAGGGCGTGTAAAATGGCAGTGCAATATAGGCCTCCAATTGTAACGACAACTCGTCAGTAACTAAATATTCCACACTAATTAAGCATAATTAAAATATCTAGCCAGTGCGTGGCATGCGTCGTGTATAGAAAGCAAAATAAATGTGGCAAGCGACCAGAAACAATTCGTTCAGAAAAACTTAACTGACAAGTGTAACAAATTAATGACGCCGTGTTTCGACTCGAGCGATAAATATTTATCGACTTCAGCACAATTAAAGCTGGTCATGCCGTGGCTCTGGCATGTCATGAGTCAAACCTGATCCAAGACGATCTGAGTGATATGAAGCCTGTCAGCGCCGCCAACGCCGCTAATGCCACTGACAACGGCAACCGATTTGCAGGCCAAGCTGCCGACAGGTTACAACTGGCTCATGAAGTTGACTTGTCCTTGTCAGCGAGTGCAGCCAGCTGACAGTCGCTCCTCATCGAATGTTGACTGTTGGCCGGTTACCTGATGTCTTTGTCTCTGGCTTCTGTTAATTAAAAACGTAAAATGCTCAGCGGTCTGGCCTTTTGCAGAGCTGCTGGCAAGCGCGCCAATTAATTAGTCGTAGTGCTAAATAAAAAAAATGGCGCTAGTAATAGTTACACCCTGTACAAAGCATGAGAGGGGTAGGACTAAGTGTCTCTAGCGAGCTGGTAAATGCAACTTGAGCCTACCCGCAACGCCTTTTGTTTTATTTTAACTAATTATATCGGTTATTGACAACGATTTGTCCTGGGTTCTATCCCATATTGATAATCATATTAAATAAATGGGCTCTTTGGGCTCTTTCCCTTCATGATTTTGGTCAAGGTATAAGGTATAAGCTATCGATTTCGATCAGCCTAAATATGATAGCTTTAACTGTTACACGGTATTCGCAGAGTGGAGCAACTGGCACTGGATGCATTCTTTCGTGTTGCCAGTATGGAGAAGTGCGTAGCTATATATTACAAGTTGCTGCAGCCAAATCTTCGAGAGGCAGTTGGCTGATCACATAAATTTCACTGCTTTCTAACGCATCAGCAGGTATTGGCAATGCGATTATTGAAATGCGACAAAGGTTTTTCTTTTAGCCACTTGCCGTTTGCAGACAAATCATGAGCCAACCGCCGCCGCTACTGGGGCTGCGGCAGCTTTTGTTTTTACAAAGTGTGGATAATTGCAGCTGACAGGGGACGACAATGGAGACAGCAATGGCAATGGCAATGGCAATGTCTATGGAGACACTGGGACTGGGCCAGTTAGATTCGCCGGCTCTCACTCTCTTTGCAGCATGATAATTGGACATGTGGCATGTGTACATAAGGGGATGTCTGGCAGCGTTTACCTTTGACAGATCGTTAGCAACATCTTCGGGGTGCCCTATTCCTTTTTAATTGGCAGTCGCATCTTGGCTTAAAAGTGAAATTGATAAACGTTGAAGGCGCCACGTGCTTGGCCTGCTAATTTTATCAATTTCGGAATTTCGTAACCGCAAAAGCGGCTCACCTGTTGTCAGCACACCCAATTTCAACGAAGTCCCCCCATAATTATTATTAATTTTAATTTTTTCGCAGCTTTCATTTTGTCACCTTATCAAAAGTGACAGGCGTCTAAATTGAAGCGAATGAAATAACTTCGCACTACAATTCGATGCTAACTGGACTGGGCCTAGGGCGAAGACTGCGCCCACAACGCCGCATTTTTTTTGTAGGGATGGGCCAGACCCTACACATAAATCACATTAGTTTGCTAATTGTTGGGGTCAATACAAGAACACCAACAAAAACAAAAATAATACGCCTTATTTTGTTCGGCAAACAGTTAGAAAGCTTTCATTTTCGGTGGTGAAAATTTGTGGGCAACACAGAATTCGTTAATGATGCAACTCTTGGCATTGCGTAAACGTGATGTTAATTTAATTAACAAATAATTCACGCAATGTGAACGTCGTCTAAACGGGTGTTAAGTGAAAATTTGACAAGGGCCAGTCCCTGTAAGCTGAAAAAGTTAATTTGGTAATTTTTGTAATTGTTGGAAATAAATGTGTGGAAGTTTTTTGGTTAAAGATCTTACTTGGACACTTAGCTTATATTTTAAAACTAGAAGAAATTAACAAGGTCAAATGAATAATGTAGCAAATGTAAATAGCATGGAAATTGTTAATGATATTATTATGAATAAAGTATTATTTCGTTTTTATATTATTATATATAAAAATTAATTCGTTTTCATTTGCCATTTTATGACATTTTAAGCAAGAAGTTAAATTTAAGTATTTAGAGTATTTCTTAGAGTTTGAACCGGCGACGTTTCGCTAGATAGTTCGACGCTGAGACACCTTTAATCCATTATTGTCGTCATAGTATCATAGTATTTTATATCAATTTAAGAGAATTAAATTTAAGAAAATATACAAATAGAATATTGCTGCTCAATTTGAACCAGCGACTTCTCGCTTATTAGTCCGAAGCTCAGACACCTTGAGTCGCGTCCATTAGTCGCCAGTCAGTCAATAAGTTACTTAATCAACCAGAACAAACTCATTTACATATTTAGATTAAGTACATTTTTTAATACACGTTTGAATGCTCATAATTTGCTCAGGAGTCTGCAAGTACCGGCTGCACCTTTGGTTTAAATGTTTTCCACATCATTTAATGTGACGCTCGATATGCCATTAGGGGACAGCTTAATTAAGCCAATTGGCTAACATGGATGCCGCACATTGGCCACAATCCACAAGGTAAAACGGCCAAAAACCAACATGCAAACATTGCGGCTGCTCTTTTGGGCTCTTTTGTCGCAGCACGTTGCTCACTTTCCACAAAGAGCACAACAGCTTTCACATTGCGCTCTTAGGCTCGAGACTTGTCGGAGTCGTTTGGTATAAAACTTCTTACGTATGCGCGTCATGGCTCAATCTTACCTTGAACTTGGTCGTGTTAAGATCGAATCGCAGAGGACTAGGCAGAGTGTGAGGTGAATTCGATGCGCCGGCGCAGCTGAATATTTGAATATTTATAAGTGCGTTAATTGTGGCGTTTTTGGTGACGACTTCTTTCAAAAAGAAAATGGAACAAAGATCCGTTGTGCCTTTGCGTGTCGAGCAGTGTACATAAATCAGAACACACTTTTGTAAACGATTTAACGGCAACTCCATCTGTGTCTGTAACTATCTATCTATATATATATATATATATTGTATCTGTATTTGTGAAATTTCATCGGCTGACTTGAGTTAGTTTCTAACCAAAATGGACTCAGCGGCCTCAGCTGGGCTCTTGCTGCTGCTATGTTTGCCATTGCCATTTACACTGACGCATGCCTGGAGCCTGCCCGCCTCCGTCCCAGCTCCAGCTCCCGCTCCAGCTGCAGCCTGGTCGCCAGTTGTGGCACCTGCTGCACGCCAACTAAATGGTAAGTTATGCCAAGTCACCTGGATGCACAAATTCATTCGGTTTGTTGCCATATTTTTTTGGTGAATGACTCAGCTCTTGTCCAATTTCTTTTCATATTTTTTTTTGTATTTTGTAATGCGCAATGGGCCGCTGTTTAAAATGCAAAGCAAAACAAAACACAATCAAAAGCACTTTTTTTTATTGCAGTGAAATTTTTGGCTCATTAAGGTAAATGTGAGAGCGCACGAATTTTACTAGCCATTATATCATAGCTGAGCGCAGATGGGTTTCTCAGACTGAATACCAAATACGGCTCAGATGAATAGATGTCTGATGTGTCAATTGACAGGCGACAGCCGGCAGTCGAGAGTCGGCAGACGACATCAATTCGAGTTGTCAACTTTATGCCTAATTAACGCTGACTCTCATGGCCAGTGCAGCAGAACAGGAACATTGTTAGGAAAGGGTTTGCGTTTATGGAGCAGGTGACATGCTCGTTGCTC